AGTACTAGGAGTAGTAGTGGTAGTAGTAGTAGTAGTAGTTGTTGTAGTTGTAGTGGTAGTAGTAGCAGTAGCAGTAGTAGTAGCAGTAGTCGTAGTAGTAGCAGCAGTAGTAGTAGTAGTAGTAGTAGTAGTAGTAGGCCGGGTACCAAACCCTGAACAACCGTGGACTCTCTTGCAATCTTGGGAACGTATTCTACGATTTGCCCGTTGTTTGCATACGAGCTGACGAAGCACCAGACTGTCCCTAAGGGTCCATGTGTTCATTTAGTATATACATTGGCCTTAATGTAGTCCCTATATAGGTACTTTGGGGCCCATGTATATGCTATATGAATACATGGACCCTTAGGGTATAGGACACTATCGCAAATCGCAATTACCAGAAACACCCCGAGCCAGCAGTAATCAACATAATTTGTGTTTACCCTAAGGCTCCTGGACCCATGTGGTGAGATCCCAAACCCTAGCCCCCAAAGCCGAAACCCTCCCCCAGAAAGCCCAAGACCCTTTTTGGAGCCTTAAGGTAGAGGGTACGAACAAAAACCGGGGAATAGTATACTTGTATCTTATTAATGAGTCAAACTTCCACACTGGAACACTTGCCCTGGACACCCTAAGACCGTGAAGCCATATTTTATAGCCCCCATCAGGAACCTACAAACAGTTGGTTGAAAGACCTCCTGATTATGACCACCAATCGTCCACGACACGGAGAACCACTGCAACAACAACATTTTTGCAAACCCTGGTCCTGATCACCGAAAAGACTAACCGTACACCGGACGACCTCCCAACGGCGCTCGAAACCCTAAACCCTGCGACCTCCCAACGGGGCTCGAAACCTTGCACCCTAAACCCTAAACCCGAAAACCCACACCCTGAACCCTAAACTGGAAAACCTAAACCCTAAACCCGAAAACCAAAACCCTGAACCCTGAACCCAGGAAGCATCCGTCGCCTGAAGTAGGTGCCATGCGCCCTCGAGGAAGTCGATGGGTACGACCTGTCCGTCAGGGCCCATGTGCCAAAATAGTGTGGGGTTTAGGGTTTAGGGTTTAGGGGTTTAGGGTTTAGGGTTTGCGGGTTTAGGGTTTAGGGTTTAGGGTTTAGGGTTTAGGGTTTGCGGGTGTAGGGTTTGGGTTTGGTATGTACTTTGGCTTTAAGTAGTCCCTTTTTGGGTACCTGGGCCGAAGTATCTAACATTTGGGTACATGGACCCTTATAACCTAAACCCTATAGTCCCTATAGAGGCCTTAAAGAAATCCTTATACCTTGTAGTCGCAACTCTAAACCCTAAACCCTAAACCCTAAACCCTAAACCCTAAACCCTAAACCCTAAACCCTAAACCCTAAACCCTAAACCCTAAACCCTAAACCCTAAACCCTATTTGAGTACATGGACCTTTCGGGTGTGAGGCTTCGGGTTTCCAGCCTTTGTGTGGCATCGGAGCTTGGGGCCTTACCTGGACCCTAAACAACCTGGGTTTAGGGTTTAGGGTTTAGGGTTTAGGGTTTAGGGTTTTAGGGTTTAGGGTTTAGGGGTTTAGGGTTTAGGGTTTAGGGTTTCTTATTATGGCTTCCGTATATAAATCCTCCAAAAAAAAGGTAGGTTATATTGGGGTTTCCTTTATGATTTTTACGTATTTGAACCCTTGAAAAAAGGTAGGCTAATTTGGGGTTCCTTGTTAAGGTTTCCTTATATATACGTCATAAAAAAGGGTAGGTTATTTGGTGTTTATTGTTAAGGTTTTCTTATATACAAGCCCTTAAACAAGGATGGGTTTTGGGGGTTAAGGTAATATAGGGGCCTTCAGAATTAGAATAGGGTTTTGGACTCTTTTATAGCATGAAAACAACAGGGAACCTGAGGAAAAATATTGGTAATTATCTAGGCTTCTATATTCTAATAAGGACCCCCTAAAGTAGTATCGATAATTCTTTAGGCTTCTATACTATAACCCTTACCCTCAAAAGGACTCATATCTTAAGGCTTTTGGGCCCAAAGACCCTATTATAAAAGGCTTTTGGGCTATTTTGATGCTAAGGGTTGGGGAAGCTTTGGAGCTCCTGTAAAAGGGCTCCTCCTGGCTTTGGGGATGAGGGCTTAAGGCCTTATAGATGTTGGATGAGGGTTTAGGGTTTAGGGTTTTAGGGTTTAGGGTTTAGGATTTTAGGGTTTAGGGTTTAGGGTTTAGGGCTTGAGGGTTTAGGGTTTTCAGGGTTTAGGGTTTTATAGCCCGAGCTTTGGGGTCGGGGCGAAACCGGGCTTGCAACAACTGTAGGGGAGTCCGGTTTAGGGTTTAGGGTTTCGTGTTTAGGGTGTAGGGTTCAGGGACAGTCCGGGTGCTTAGTTCTAAGGATCCCCCCGTTCGAGTGCTTTGCGGACCCTAGACCCTAGACCCTGAACCACTAAACCACCCTCTGGCCAAAACCCAAAGCCCTACAGCTTGGCTCAAGGATTGCAGGGGCATACTTGGATGGAGGCTCAGGGGACTTAGTCAATAGCTTCCGG